TGTTGTTTGCAATAAAGACTTCGTTTACTCTCGGTACATGCTCATACACCAGACCAGGTACCACACTGTGCACATCGAAGGTACCCTGCACAAGACCCAGTGCAGCATTTGCCTGAAGGTGTTCAGCAAAGTAGCTACTTTGTTGAAGCACATCACCACCAAGCACAACGCCGAGAGTGCTGACAAGACCGAGAAGCGCCACCTGTGTGACATTTGCGGCAAGGGTTTTGGTACCTCGGACAAACTCAAGATCCACTACAGGATCCACACTGGGGACAAACCGTTCTCTTGCAACTACTGCGATAAGAAATTCACCAAGAAGGATTACTTGATAATGCACACTAGGGTACATACTGGGGAGAAGCCCTATCCCTGCGAGTACTGTGGGAAATGTTTTAATCAGGCTGCTTCTCTGAGGATCCACGTGCGAGGACATACTGGGGAGAGGCCGTATATGTGCCAGTTTTGCAACGGGGGATATATTTCCAGAGGGTCGCTGAATTTGCACATGAAGATTTGCAATGGGGTTGCCATCTAAGGTTGAGTTGGGCTAATTTAGTATTTAGACGGATTGAGAGTACTCAACAGTTCAATGGAGTATCCTGGATTTCACATTATATGGTTTTTCAATAAGTTTTGTTTCCTTGCTGATAAGGTATTGGACTATTTCGCAATACTGAAATGTCAATTGTGTTCTTTGAATCGGATATCAATATGCTGTTTGACTATACCTGCCCCACTTGTGGCAAAGTCTTCAACGTCACCTTCAAAGAGCACAACAACGAGCACCTGGGCATGAAACTCTTCGTATGTGTTGTTTGCAATAAAGACTTCGTTTACTCCCGCTAAATGCTGATCCACTAGACCAGGTACCACACTGTGCACATCGAAGGTACCCGCACAAGACCCAGTGCAGCATTTGCTTAAAGGTGTTCAGCAAAGTAGCTGCTTTGCTGAAGCACATCACCACCAAGCACAACGCCGAGAGTGCTGACAAGACCGAGAAGCGCCACCTGTGTGACATTTGCGGCAAGGGTTTTGGTACCTCGGACAAACTGAAGATCCACTACAGGATCCACACTGGGGACAAGCCGTTCTCTTGCAACTACTGCGATAAGAAATTCACCAAGAAGGATTACTTGATAATGCACACTAGGGTGCACACTGGGGAGAAGCCCTATCCCTGCGAGTACTGCGGGAAATGTTTTAATCAGGCTGCTTCTCTGAGGATCCACGTGCGAGGGCATACTGGGGAGAGGCCGTATATGTGCCAGTTTTGCAACGGGGGGTATATTTCCAGAGGGTCGCTGAATTTGCACATGAAGATTTGCAATGGGGTTGCCATCTAAGGTTGAGTTGGGCTAATTTAGTATTTAGACGGATTGAGAGTAGTCAACAGTTCAATGGAGTATCCTGGATTTCACATTATATGGTTTTTCAATAAGTTCTTGTTTCTTTGCTGATAAGGTATTGGACTATTTTGCAATACTGGAATGTCGATTGTGTTCTTTGAATCGGATATCAATATGCTGTTTGACTATACCTGCCCCACTCGTGGCAAAGGCGTCAACTTCATGTTCAAAGAGCACAACAACGAGCACCTGGGCATGAAACTCTTCGTATGTGTTGTTTGCAATAAAGACTTCGTTTACTCCCGCTACATGCGGATCCACTAGACCAGGTACCACACTGTGCACATCGAAGGTACCCGCACAAGACCCAGTGCAGCATTTGCCTGAAGGTGTTCAGCAAAGTAGCTACTTTGCTGAAGCACATCACCACCAAGCATAACGCCGAGAGTGCTGACAAGACCGAGAAGCGCCACCTGTGTGACATTTGCGGCAAGGGTTTTGGTACCTCAGACAAACTCAAGATCCACTACAGGATCCACACTGGGGACAAGCCGTTCTCTTGCAACTACTGCGATAAGAAATTCACCAAGAAGGATTACTTGATAATGCACACTAGGGTACACACTGGGGAGAAGCCCTATCCCTGCGAGTACTGTGGGAAGTGTTTTAATCAGGCTGCTTCTCTGAGGATCCACGTGCGAGGGCATACTGGGGAGAGACCGTATATGTGCCAGTTTTGCAACGGGGGGTATATTTCCAGAGGGTCGCTGAATTTGCACATGAAGATTTGCAATGGGGTTGCCATCTAAGGTTGAGTTGGGCTAATTTAGTATTTAGACGGATTGAGAGTACTCATCAACAGTTTAGTGGAGTATCCTGGATTTCGCATATATGATTTCATGGTGGACAATGTGTTGTTTTTTTGAAAGTATTGGACTATTTGAGGTAATGGGGTGGCCTCAGACTCAATGATATAATTGGCAATACTTGAATTATCGAAACAATTGAGTCTGGAATGATAATTATTGTGTTCCTTAAGTCGTATGCCGATATATGTTTGTCTGACTTAGTGTCTTGGTGCACACATTATTTATTGGAGAATTGGGGATCCCCATACATTACTGATTCTATTTTCACTTTGGTTATTAAGGGGTTTTTGTATTAGTAGATCACCTATAGCAATTTATTTATTTAATAATGAGAATAATGCACGGAAAATGTATGATAGAAAATGAAGAAAGAATAAGACATGGAAATAAATTGAGAACTTTTAGAAATGAACGAATGATTTCAGTCCTTATTGTTATCACGTTTCTTAGAGGAAATAGATACTCAGGATGAAAATGACCCTAAGTGAAGCACCTATATCAAAGGGGTAAACAATTTTATCAAATATTTATTTATATTTTCATAATTTATATTCACATTTCTAACCAGCTAATAATAAAAAGACAATGTTTTATCCAATATTAGAGGGTACCTATAATATAATATATTACTATTAACTGTGTAGGTAGTACATAACTAAAACAAATATTATGTATAATAAATACGAGATTCACACAAATATTCCTCTTTTATTATTTAGTATTATTATACAATTTCTAATAATTGCATCTGTTCTGGAAATAATATGTATTCACTGAAGGTGTTTATATGCATTTGCCTTGTAAATCATAACGAAATAAGCAAGTATTTGACAGTGTGAGGTGACCAGTACCATGAATAAACTATAACCAATAAATTTTTATTTTTAGAGACCCCTTGAATGTATGGGCTGATGAATTTTTCGTGGCATTCGAGAAAGCCAAAGCTACAGATGAGGGAATATTCCACTACACTTTGATGACTTGCCGTCAATGGTACAACTTAGTCGGACTTTGCAAACCATTGCTGTCGGATTTTTGTGAAAAGTACGATTTTTTGAATCCTGAAAAATGCCTTGCCCTAACATTCAGGTATGACAAATCACCTCACATATCAATATCCTTAATAGCACAATTATATCCAATGATCTTCTCAGGTGTCTATATAGGATCTCTTATCTCTGACTCAGAACATATAAAAGACCCCCCCTTCCATTTAATTTTTTTTCTCAGATGGCACCCAGTCGCCATCTTGAAATTTCCATCAGTCAAATTTACTCCAGAATATAGTATTTATGCATCAATTTCATTACCCCAAGTTTCAATTTTTTTAGTGGACCCGTTCAAAAAATAAAAGGTGGGATATAAAAGAAAAATACTTTATAATGAATGACCTCATCGCCAAAGGCAAGGCCAATAATTTGGAAACAAACAATGTGATTCATTATGGCACTAATGGCACAAACGATTCGTACCTCGCAGACCCTTTTGACATTGATTATTTTCAATGAAACTGAATATTTACTGTACTATATTCAACACAATCTCCACTTCCTGATTCAATTTCACGTAATCATTTTGGTCAAAATCCACTAGACTCCCTAAGAACAATCATTTCAGTTCGGGAACATGATTACTCCTGAATGTGGACATCTCTAGGACTTTAGGATATTTTGTGCTATTAGGGTTAGACGATTTCTCAAATTTCACAGGTACCTTTCAAGGGGCGATCGTCTCGCATCCTTAGCCGAATCCTTGTTCATATCCGAAGACCTCATCACCAAAGTTATCTCCGAGTGTTGCCAGGTCGTCTGGAAGGTCCTGGCGCCCACTTACCTCCAAGCTCCCGACGCCAGGCAACTCCGCACAAGCGTTCACAGCTTCTGGCACAAATGGAAGATCCCCAACTGCTGCGGCGCCCTGAACGCCAAAAGGATCATCTTCTGCGACCCCCACACCCGAGAAGAGTACCCGGTGATGGTCCTGGCGATCTTCGATCACGTGGGCAGGTTCAGCCTGGTGGACATCGGTGCCCCAGGCTCTCTGGACGTCGAATCGGTGTTTGGCTCTTCCAGGATCGGCAGGGCCATCAAGGAAGGGAATTTTGGCATGGAGGCGAAGAACTTGCCCGGTACGAACGTCCAGTGCCCGGTGTACTTCGTGGCTCCGAGTGGTTTCCCTGTGCTGAACAATCTCTTGGTGCCCTATCCGCCTAGTACGCCCTATCGAGCTCTCTTGCCCCACCAAGAGGTGTTCAATAAGAAACTTGATGTTGCTTTGAGGTGTTCTGAGAACGGGTTCGGAGTGATGGCTTCTAGGTTTCAGTTGCTCCAGAGGGTGAATAGGGTGGATAAAGGGTTGGCGGTGCAGACGGTGATGGCAGTGGTCGCTCTGCACAATTTCATCAAGAAGGGTCCGGGTAATTTGTTTTATTGCCCCAAGGGGTATGCTGATTTCATCAAAGACGGTTATTTGATTGAGGGTATGTGGAGGGAGATAGAAAGTGGAGCGATGAGGAGTGTTGGGATTGAGTCTTGTATTTCAAATAGCGATTCGATTACCAGGCAATATGTGGCCAAGTATTTAACGATGAAAGAAACTTGTTTGGTGAAATAAATGATTTTGTACAATTTGATTGACATTTCCTTTCCCCACCAATATTTTAATATTGCGATATTGATCCATGGGTGTCTTTCTGAATATTTTTTGTGAAAAAATATCTCGGTGAGTAATTGAATCCTAAATTGATTCAACTGTCTCTTGCTAACACAATTTTTCTTTTAGAAGGAAACGAAAAACTGCCATGAGAACCGTCAGAAAAACTAGATCGAAAATGTATATCGACGAATCAGACGACTATGACTACGTACCGGTGACTAAAAAGAATAAGCGAAAGTCGACGAAAGAGGTCTTAGAGATAGTAGTGAAAAACAGTAGAAAACGCTACGACCTCCAGAAAAAATGGCCCTGCAAAAAATGCGGAGAAATCCTACCGACCAAACGAAAACTCTTGTCCCACCGGAAAGAAGAACACTCTAAATCAGACACGGAAGAGCATACCTACAAATACGATGAGCTGCAAGAGCTCTACGTCTGCAACACCTGCTCAGCAGAATACATCGAAAAAAAAGAAATCGAAAAACACGTCAGCGCTCACGAAGAAAAATTCGAGTGCTCCATATGCGACAAGAAGTTCAAGAAAGCCTACGACTTCGGCACCCACAACTCCATCCACGATCCACAAAAGCTCTTCAGATGCCCCCTGTGCCCCTACACCACCCCCAAACGCACAGGCTTCCTGGTCCACATCAACTACACCCATCTGAAGAAGTTCGGATACGTTTGCGAAACCTGCGGCAAGGGTTTCAACGACATGATCCTCTACAAGGAGCACAACAACGAGCACCTGGGCATCAAGCCCTTCTCCTGCATTGTCTGCTCCAAGACTTTCACCTACTCCAGGTACCTCTTCACCCACCAAGTCCGCTCGCACAGGGTGGGCATAGAAGGGCAGCTGCTGCCCAACCAGTGTCACGTGTGCAGCAAGGTGTTCAGCAAAGCTGCTACTTTGGAGAAGCATGTGGAGGAAAGGCACGTGAAGCACCAGCTACCGCACGTGAAGAAACACCTGTGCGATACGTGCGGCAAAGGTTTCGCGCAGAAGAACAAGCTCCGGGTCCACTGCCGGGTCCACACTGGCTTCAAGCCCTATTCTTGCACTTATTGTGCCAAAAGCTTCACCAAGAAGGACTATCTGGTTATGCACGAGCGGGTGCATAGTGGGGAGAAACCGTACTCGTGTGAGTACTGTGGGAAGTGTTTCAGCCAGGGAGCTCCGCTGAGAATACATCTGAGGACCCATACTGGGGAGAGGCCTTACGTTTGTCAGTTTTGCAGTGTAGGGTTCACTTCGAGAGGGGGACTCAACATGCATTGTAAAAATTGTACTGGGAATACAATTTGATGGCGATATTTATTGTTTTTGTACGCCGTATTATGTTATTTTCAAGCACACATCGAACCTTCTACATCTTTCATGCACAGGTATATTTTTATTCATCAGCTGAAGCTCATTAGAAGATTAAGACGAAGTAGTTAGGATGAGTCACATTATAGGCAATATGTATTTTAAATATTTATTAATGAAGAACAAGAATGAATGAGAAAATGTGTCCCCCTTTATTAACCTATGTACTACAAGTAGGTAGCTGAATAGTTGGAATTCAGAATGTCTTTTCTTTTTCTCCTCATTATTAACTTGAATCGAATAATTCTGAAACTCAACATTTTTCAGTATCTGGTCAAAAAAACAAACCAAGACCAAACCAGTGATGCTTCTACTTCTACCATCGACCAACATCCCTGGTATCAACGGATCAACCATCAGATATCTGTCGCCTGATTCAAAGCTGGTGTCTATATCAGCAAACAATAACTCTGGTTCCTCAAAATGCTCGATTCCAAATTCAAGCGAGGCTGTTCCTGTCAGACAACTGTGGCCTGGATCAAAGCTGATGTCTATATCAGCAAACAACTCTGGTACCTCGAAATTCTCGAGTCCAAATTCAAGCCAGACTGTTTCTGTCAGACACCTATTGCCTGGGTCAAAGCTGATGTCTATATCAGCAAAAAACTCTGGTACCCTGAAAGGCTCGAGTCCAAATTCAAGCCATCACACTGTTCCTGTCAGACATCTGTCGCCTGGATCAAAGCTTGTGTCTATATCAGGAAACAATAACTCTGGTATCTCAAAATGCTCGATTCCAAATTCAAGCCAGACTGTTCCTGCCAGACATCTGTGGGCTGGATCAAAGCTGATGTCTATATCAGCAAACAACTCTGGTACCTCGAAATTCTCGAGTCCAAATTCAAGCCAAACTGTTCCTGTCAGACGCCTGTCGCCTGGGTCAAAGCTGATGTCCATATCAGCAAACAATAACTCTGGTACCTCAAAATGCTCAATTCCAAATCCAAGCCAGACTGTTCCTGTCAGACATCTATGGCCTGGATCAAAGCTGATGTCTATATCAGCAAACACCTCTGGTACTTCGGAATACTCGAGTCCAAATACAAGCCAGACTGCTCCTGTCAGACACCTATCGCCTGGGTCAGAGCTGATGTCTATATCAGCAAACAACTCTGGTACCTTGAACTGCTCGAGTCCAAATTCAAGTCAACAGACTCTTCCTGTCAGACATCTGTCGCCTGGATCAAAGCTGGAGTCTATATCAGCAAACAACTCTAGTACCTCGAAATGCTCAGGTTCGATCATTGAGGAATCTGAGAACCCGCAGGTCTATTTCCCGTCCAATGTTGAACCAAACCTCCTGCTTATGCACATTCCTGTCAAGATGAGAACCAGCACTGGAGAGTTTCAGACTGTGTCGGTACCTAAACTTGTGAGCATCAACCCAAAAATCATCATGAACACTCTGCCCGACGTACCAAACCCATCGAATCAGCTGGTCGCTCGAGTAGAACCTCTGGTAAAACCAGCAGTTCCGAAGGGATACAAAGACATGTTCAATTACGATCGTTTCGCCCAGGACGGTAAAGTGATGAACCACACTCGACAAACGGACCACAATCTCCGAGAAAAATGGAAATGTTTGCTTTGTGTCGACATTAAGGAGACCAAGGAGTCGCTGATCGACCACTATGAAGCCCACAAGCTCGAAAGAGAAGCCTCAGTAGATAGCACCAATGCCGATGGTAAATCCATCTTCCAATGCCCCGCATGCCAAGCGGAACTGACCTCGTTCAATACGTACACATTACACGTAGATCGCACACACCGACCAAAAGAGTTCTTCTGTGATTCCTGCAATACAACCTGCAATAACGCCTACACCATGAGCCTGCACGTGGCGCAGCACCAATTCCCCTCGGACGAACTCCGATGCTGCCTCTGCAAGACTTTCATGACCGCGTCCAAGGATATGCTGAGATCGCACATATATGAGAAGCACGAGAAAGATCGTAAGTTGCTGTACTGCTATGAGTGCGGCAAAAGCTTCACTTCGGAGACCTGGTTCAAAGACCACAAGCTCTTTCACTTGCCCAAAGGCAAACAGCTGCACTGCGAACCTTGCAAGAAGCACTTCAATGACAGCAGATCTTTGACGCTGCACAACAAGCAGCGCCACTGCATAGCTCCTCCGGTGCTTGCCAAGCATCAATGCGACATATGCCAGTTCACTTTCCCTTTCGAGAAGAACCTGATCCGTCACTCTAGGTCCCACCACACTACCAACTCATATCTGTGCAGCGTGTGCGGCAAAACCTTCTCTAGACATGCGCTTCTTACCATTCACATGGAGATCCATGATGAGAGAAAGTACGTGTGCAGCTATTGCGGCAGAGCGTTTGCGAATCTGAAGACGCTTAGGCAACACGTGAAGATCCACACCGGGGAAAAACCGCATAAGTGTGAGAAGTGCGGCAAGAGTTTCGCTCAGAGAAGCGCCCTGACTACGCATATACGATCTCAGCATACGGGCGAGAAAAGGTTCGCTTGTTCGAAATGCGATAAAAGGTTCGTTACCAGGAGCTCCCAAAAGCAGCACCAAACGGTGTGTAAGGCCTAGAAGAATGTGCTGAAGAAGAAAGGAGGGGGATGGGTGATTCCAAACTATCGCATCTAGAGAGAGTAGGCATCACAAATTGAAAGGGTACTTGATACTACAAACAATAAGGCGGTAAATTCGGATTTGTTATCAAAATGTGGTCCGGGCTCAACATAAATTGTAGAATTTGTACTGGGATCCCAATTTGATCATGATATTTCTGGTTTATGTGCGTCGTATTTATGTTGTTTTCAACTTTATGCACCAGGTACTCTTATTCATCAGCTGAATCCCATGAGAAATTCGGGACGAAGTATTCACAATGAGTCTGAATCAGTTGTTAAATTATAGGCAATGTGTATTCCAAATAGTTATTAATGAAAAACAATAAGTTTGAAATATAAAATTTGTCGTCCATTATATTCACCTCAAAATCTCGAAACGAAATATCTTTTAATAAAAATAGGAGCTGAACACTTGGAATTCAGAATCTCTATTATTTTTCTCCTTATAAACAATAAGATGGAAGTAATATATCGAGGGAACTATAAAAAGTGACTTGAAAGAGATTTTTGGACGTAGCCCTCACAAAGAGATGATAATTGTATATACGTGGTGACGTTAGCTGTTTTCCTGAGACCTCAGAGTCTGCTGACCGAAACCAGAACTGTGCTGCCTATCCTTTGCATTCCTTTTCACCGTACTGATGAAGGCCGAAAGCTCGAAACACGTGTATATGATTATCTCTTTGAGAGGGCTACTATGTCAAATAATATTTTTCTAGTCATTCCTCCATATAGTTTACTTGAATCGAATAATTCTGAAAATCAACATTTTTCAGTATCACGTCAAAAAAACAAACCAAGACCAAACCAGTGATGGTTCTACTTCCATCATCGACCAACATTTCTGGTGTCAATTGTTCAACCATCATCAAAAATCGACGTCAGTCTGTTCCTGCCAGGTATTTGTCGCCTAGATCGAAGCTGATGTCTATATCAAGTAACAACTCTAGTACCTTGGAATGCTCAAGTCCAAATTCAAGCCAGACAGTTCCTTTCAGATATCTGTTGCCTGTTCCAAAGCTGGTGCCTATATCAGCAAACAACTCAAGGACCTCGAAATGCTCAGGTCCGATCATTGAAGGATCGGCGAACCCGCAGACCCATCTCAAATTACTTCGTGCTACTCCTAAAACGTGCCCGTTCAATGTTGAACCAAACCTCGAAGAGTTTCAGGATATGTCGGTGCCTGCACTAGTGAGCATCAAGAAACCGAAAATCATCATGTACACTCTGCCCGACGTACCAAATAACCCATCGAATCAGCTGTTCGCTCAAGTAGAACCATCTGGCCGGAATGGGTACAAAAACATGTTCAATTACGATCGTTTCGCCCAGGACGGTAAAGTGATGAATCGCGCTCGACTAACGGACAACAATCCCCGAGAAGAATGGAAATGCTTGCTTTGTGGCGACACTAAAGCGACCAAGGATTCGCTGATCGACCACTATGAAGCTCACAAGCTCGAGAGAGAAGCTGCAGTAGATAGCACCAACGCCGATGGACAATCCCTCTTTCAATGTCCTGCTTGCCAGGTGGAATTGACCTCGTTCAATACTTACACATTACACGTAGATCGCATACACCGACCAAAAGAGTTCTTCTGCGATTCCTGCAATACAACCTGCAATAACGCCTACACCATGAGCCTACACGTGGCGCAGCACCATTTCCCCTCGGACGAACTTCGATGCTGCCTCTGCAAGACTTTCATGACCGCGTCCAAAGTTATGCTGAGATCGCACATATATGAGAAGCACGAGAAGGATCACAAGTTGCTATACTGCCACGAGTGCTGCAAAAGCTTCACTTCGGAGGCCTGGTTCAGAGACCACAAGCTCTTCCACTTGCCCGAAGGCAAGCAGTTGCACTGCGAACCTTGCAAGAAGCTCTTCAATGACAGCAGATCTTTGACGTTGCACAACAAGCAGCGCCACCGCATCGCGCCTCCGGTGCTTGCCAAGCACCAATGCGAGGTATGCCAGTTCACTTTCTCCTTCAAGAAGAACCTGATCCGTCACTCCAGGTCTTACCATACTAGCAACTCCTATATGTGCAGCGTGTGTGGTAAAACCTTCGGTAGACAAGCGCTTCTTAGAATTCACGTGGAGATCCATGATGAGAGAAAGTACGTGTGCAGCTATTGCGGCAAAGCGTTTGCGATGCTGAGAACGCTTAGGCTACATGTGAGGATCCACACCGGGGAAAAACCGTACAAGTGTACGGAATGCGGCTGGAGTTTTGCTCAGCGAAGCGCCCTGACTGCGCATATACGATCTCAGCATACGGGCGAGAAAAGGTTCGCTTGTTCGGAATGCGATAAAAGGTTCGTTACCAAGAGGTCCCATAAACAGCACCAAACGGTGTGTGAGGCCTAGAAGAATGTGCTGAAGAAGAAATAATAAGAAAGGAGAGGGGTGGGTTTGCAAACTATATCATCTAGAGGGAGTAGACATCACAAATTGAAAAAAATGTGTTGTCAAAATGTGGTCCGAACGTGCGCTTCGCGCACCGTATATCCTGAGAAAAGGCCATATACATAATAATATTATGAAAAGACCTTATAAAAGAGGGGTTGGTAGGTATTTGGAATGGAAATCAATTGTAAAAGCATACCGATGCTTCGCCACGTAAGCGCAACTTTCGCACAATTTGATTGGTCTACTCCCTAGACGTAGTTAACATTTCGTTTTTTGTTCATAACTATCATTGAAAAGTTCGTTCATTCTTATAAATACAGTTGCTAAAAAAGAATTCAAATTTTCGAATTCTTTTCTCAATGTAAACAAATACGTCATTTCTGAGCATTAGGTATGTACTCTTAGCGGTTATAGCCTAACCACAAGGGCACATAAATAATGAAGAAGAATATCTCAAGGTCAAAATTGTCAAATTAAAAAATAGTAGTATTCAAACATTTGAAAAGATCATGTTTTTGTAAAATAAATGTTTCCCTTTTCTGAATATTGATGGTACTAATATATCATGGAGGACAATGTAAGTGCACTTACTAATCCTGATGCAGTACTCAAAGAAAATTCGAAAGAAGCATCTGATATAAATTCCTATCTGATCAAACCTTCTCTAGAAGCCAAGTAAGTTTGAAATCCTCCTAAAATTGCATTCATAGTATACGTTCTGATCGAAGGTTCAAAGAAATACCAGTCAAAGAAATAATACGTAATGTTGTATCTGGCCTGCTTACTGGGAAGTCCTATGATGCAGAGAATGTAAAAAAATGGACCATAACTATAGCAAATGAGGTGAATGATAAGGTAAAAGGTGAGATGAATCAGCTATCAAAAACACAGTTTTGAAGATTCCTCTATAGATCTGCACATGAAGAAGTACAAGCACATTGTCCAGGTGATAATTGGTGAAATGAAAGGAGCTGGTGTCAAATCGGGAGTGAGATGTGTTTGGGACTCTGATGTTGACAGCTTCACTAGTGAAATTTTCATGAGCGTAAGTTTACACCACAATTCTTGGCAAAATTAGGTGCCTTTGATGTCTATGTTCCATTAAAAGTCTATTTATATAACAAAAAAAATCTCTTATTTTGTATTGCAGGATGCCATATTCTGTGTGACAACAGTGTTTGCAGTTTATCTCTATTAACTCAATCAGAATATGATGTTCAACCCTTTTTTTTAATAGAAATAAATAAATAATAATTCTCTGTTTAGTTTCTAGCTGTCCTACATGCCCTGATGTAGGTCTGAAACCATTATAATTTGTTCAATATCACAAAATTATGTATTTCTTCACATTCTCTCCATTGAAGTGTTATTTTATTAGTATACCTATGAACTATTTCCAAAAATATAATGCACCATGTGTACTGAAAAACATTCCTTTTTTTTAATCTACTGGTCAAAATTTTTAGTGTTACCAACAAATTTAGCTCTAAAATATGTACTTTATTCAATTCATCATGCAAGATTCATATGTGGGTATCAGATATTTGATGTTAATGAATGCATCTTCACCGCCAAATCTTTCCAACACTTCCAAAGTTTCGTTTATAATATCAGCAAGATTGTCTCCCCTCATCTGGCTATAGTCAATTTCATCACCACAATTGACTGGAAAAAAATCAGGAAATTTCATTATTTTCTTAATGTCTTCAGAAATATTCTAGTACCATTTCTTTCTTTGAATAAATTCAAAGCTGGCAAAACTTGTCGGTAATATGGTACTAATGCTTCACCAATCATATCTCCGGATTTCACCAAATGCTGGAGCACTCTCAGAGTGGTACACATTACTTCTTTGTTCTTAGTTTTCAATGCATCTGAAAAGAAAATACTTGAAACTGATATGCTTCACAATGGAAACAAAAAAAACTCTTTTGTTCTGAATTTGTTCACCTTTGATTGGAATTATCAACTGAGGAATGCAAGGAAAAATTTTTTGTCCACCATGAGCTAGTAAATCGTGGATTCCTTGTTGAGCAAACAGTTTGTAGGGATTTTCGGTTTCACACAGACCATCAAAGAACATGGGCAAATAGTAATGAAAGTCCAGTTTACTGATGTCCGCCTAAAAATTTCACAAAGACATGTCTCAGGTAATACCGGGTGACACAAGAGTTTTTTAATTTGAAGAGATGAAAATTTGTGATACATAGTTGAATTGAGAATTTCAAGGCGAATAAGATAGACTACAGAAATATACAGGGAGCCATGTGAAGAAAGAATTGGTTCTACTTTCAATCAAACAGGTGGTTGAAAGAAAATTTCATTGGTTTCAAGGGAAGCCCCATCATCGATAATATAACCCTTGAGAATTTCAAATTTGTATCTCTCCAAATAAATAAAGTACAGGCTGTTACTTGTTCCCTGTGTCATCCGGTATAATTCAAAATAATTTCAGAATCGGCATCCCGAAACCACCCTTCACTTGAGCAATTTTTTTTTCATAAGCAAGATAATGAAATGATCAAGAGCCAAATGGAGATTTAGGGTATTATTATGTTAGGTCTTACCTTCCATGAGACTTTGCCTCCTTTAGCCTCCCTTCCAATAGGTAGATTTCCTCTCATGTAATTCATCCTGAACTTTGATGGTTTGGGAGGAATTTCTTTGAAAGCATTACATTTCGGCGGAGGTATTACGCAAGTGCCTTTTTGCATCGCCTGCATAGAGGTGAAGCATTGTATGGTTTAAATCATTTTGATTTTGCTGATAATGCAAAAGATTTACCTGAATTGTGAAAGCCGGTACAAACCTACATCCTTCTGATTTTTTGGTACCCGGTTGGGGTTTTCTCAGATTCGACCGGAATTCCTTACCACTCACCATACCTAGATATAAGGAAGTGAGAGAAAAAAAACATTCAAGTTGTTTTAAATGGACTGCTGTCAAGGTGAAGGTTCTGGACAAGTTATGGAATATATTGCCAATAGCAACCATATGTTTCATCAATATACATAATTATCAGTATACAGGGTGTTTCCTAACTGTGGTGAAATTATTAGGTCCAGTGGCGTCTCAGTGTGCACCAGAGCCAATAATATTATTGAGAGCAAAAAGTACACCACTAAGTTTTTTTTTGTAATTCCTCAATGGGCTTATATCGCAAAAAAAATTATTTCATAATTCGATAGAACTCACCACCGCAAACCGTTTCTTGCTGTGAGCTCCCTACGTTTTATAAAAAATTATTGAAATCCCCGATTTTTCAGACCTCTGAAAACGAGGCGATGATGTGACGTCAATTACGGTAAGGGTAATATATCAATCAATGCCCTAATACTGAAACAAGACTATTCCAGACAGAGATGAATGATACATGATTTCTGACAGAGTGAATTAGCGCGAGATCACATTTGAAAGAATTAATAATATATCAGTTGCCTCAGTCGCCGTCAGGTGTTTGGTATTTTCTTTCAACTATGGCGAGATGAGGTTTCTACGTCATAAGAGGGTCCGTTTTCAGAAGGTAGTATTATTTATATCGAAAAATAAAACATTCCAGTTAACCCATTTACCGCCGAATTACGAAAAAAAGAAAGGAAATAATTATTTTTCGCTTTTTTATTTTCGACATGATGTATTTATATAGTTTTTATCATGAAAAAAAATCTATGGAAGATAATGACATATATATGACATGGTGCATATACGCACCATTGGCTCTAAGTGAGAGTTACATTTCCACAAAAATTTTATGTATGATAATTCACGAAACAGTCGGCGTGCAGATGTATTTGGCATTTAGCACACAAATATATCGTGTGGCTCTTGCATTGCTTGCATCTTCTTCTTGCCTTATCTGGATGTTTCATTATCACATGCCCAACTCGGGCGAGCCTGACTTCACTAGGAACAGTTCTTTTGAGGGTCTTCCTACGGTACTCTTTTTTATACTGGCATCATCACTTTTCAATAGACGCACGGCTATATATGATTTGAAGTCCAGTTGTGTCATGTTCGAATTATTCACCTTACGATAAAGTTTCCAACAGTTAGCTACAGTGCTGTCCAGTGTGTTGATAAATAGAGGCCACCACCATTTTTTGCCTCTTATGGTCGTTTTGTAATTAGCAATAGCATTATCATGCAGGTCCACACCTCCCATATATGAATTGTATTGCTTTATCATATCAGGCTGTGGAATTTGAACATCTTTGCGTTCTTCTCTGTTGAACCTCTTAGTACTTGCCAAAGGCTCCACAGAAAAGTCGTTGCTCGCGACAGTGACAATAGCATTATCATTCCATCTCACAAGAGTGAGTTGAATGTTTTCGTGAACGGCAAAGTCATAAGCACCCCTTTCTCTTTTCTTGAACTTCAGTACAAATCCAAAACAACACTGATGGAAGAGACACGAATTGCACTTGTACCTTACAGCCGTTTCACATGCCTATGTGCAGATTTACACGTACGGACCATACGGTTCATATAGGTATAATATTGTTCATCTATCGCGCCAATGGTGCGTATACGCACCAATGCTTTTTACCTGCTCATTTTTTGTTTTTGGAAAATAACAGAGGTATCACAACTATTGTCAGAGAAAAGGGGCTATTTTGGTAATATTTTCATGCTAAGACAAATGCGATGTGTGAGATACTGATATTTTTAATTATCAATTTTCCATAAGTGTGTGGCATGAATGAAAATTACCATATTTTCTTTACCAGTTCAAAAATATATCTCACGATAAAAAAAGGTATTGATATGAGAAACGTCATCGACCAACATCACTTTTATCAATAAGAATCTGGAGTTCAGGCGATTTAGAAGAGAATTACTGAAAAAAAATGAGTTTTAGGCCGGTGCGTATACGCACCATTGGCCAAAAATGGGTTAATTTTTCTATCGAATTATGTCGTCAATCATTATTTATGTATAAAAAGGATCATTATAAACATGGTTTGAGTTAAAAGTTCTACTCAGGTGTACACGCCCATTTTCTTAGATCAAGCAAACAACTATAAAAATACGACTTTATGGTATCTTCAGTTTTCTTCATATCTAGCTTATTGATTTATGTCATTTTTTTCTGAATTACCATAGGAAAAACATCCTAATTTTTTTTTTATTCCATATTTTCCCAGAATTTCATTTTTTCCAACCTAGAAGGATTGCTGCCTCTTCTGAATTTTGGCCAATTTCAGGTTTAACCCCAACAGATCTCATGTAATTAACAGTTTTATACAGGACAAGCTATCCAGAATTTTCAAAATGGCATATTTCTATTATATGAAATGGCTGATTTCAAATCTGTGCCAATTTTTGCCAAAGTCCTAATACATGGGATTATTATACACTTTTTATTTTGATTTTTTCATCACTTGGAGCACAGGAAAAAGGTTTGAGAATAAATAGAATTCCAAAGAAATGATTTATTCTCCAAATACAACTTCTATGTACATAATTTTAAAAAATCCTGGAATAATAATTCTCTGAAACTTCAGATATTGGATCTTACAGAAATAAATAAAATTCATTTACACCAATGAAAACTCGACAGAAAATCAAAACATTGACCTAACCAACAACTAGTAAACCCTCATTGACAAAAGAATGCTGAGGAACTTCCAAATTGAGAGGTGCAGGCCCTTTGCGAATTCTGCCAGAAGCATCATAGTGAGAGCCATGGCAAGGGCAATAGTAACCCCCAAAATCACCAGCATTGGCAATAGGCACACACCCCAAATGTGTACACACCCCAAGAACCACCAACCATTCTGGGTGCTGGACACGCTCATTGTCATGTTGGGGATCTCTCAAAGAAGCCACTGCCACTGTCTGTTCAGCCTGGATTTCTGATTGTGTCCTGTGCCGGATGAAAAGGGGTTTACCTAGGGAAAATAATAAAATTGGTGATTCAGTATTCAAATTTCCATAGTTTCTTACCTCTCCACTTGAAGGTAACAGATTTTCCCTCGGGAATTTCAGCCAGCTTTATCTCGATCTTGGCCATAGCCAAAACATCAGCAGAGGCGCTCATAGAACTGACAAACTGAGTCACCAAAGTCTTGGCCCCATAGGCAGTCCCAACGCTGAGACCTCCGACCATCAAATAAGCAAAATTTCTTCTGCTATCTTCCGAATCGGCAGCCTTAGAAGTGGGACTCTTCGTGCTGTCTTTGCGATAGTGGCTCCAATCTGGGACAGTGATGTCAGTGTGGGCCCACCTCACCTATCAAACAGATTTAACGCTCATATCCTAGTTATATTTTCATTGAGCGTTTTCTTACCTGGCAGGAGACAGCTGGTCCCGAGGTGATCGAAACGTTTCCATTTGGCAGGGCTCTGCTGAGGACGTAAGGGGATGTTCCAGTAAAGGGGATGTGGACTGTAGGTTTTGTTGGCAGGATGGCGATTTGCTTGCCAGTATTCAGTTGGTTGCTCACCACTTGGCTGACGGACCTTAGATAGCTCGAAACGTTGGCTGGCTTCATCCTTTTTGGTTTTCTGTTGCCCCCTTGAAATTATTATGCAACGAAATATCTCAAAGTTTTTGCTACACAACAATTTGGCAGCTCTCGTTGCTGTCACTGTCGTCTGTCAGTACTGTCACAAGAAGTGAGAAGAAAGATAGTACTTACGCACATCGTGCATTTGAACTACTCACAACAGCACGTGTACATTTTTTCTTCACACATGGAGACGTGGAAGTGGTAGAAAAATGAGGTTCCGACGTCGTCAAAAGGTTAGAGGTTATGAAACACCAAGAAAATCTGAGCCAAGTTTGAAAGTTTTTAAATATGGATCAAAATAATGAGGAAACCATAAAATCTCTGATGAGCTTAGGTTTGAGCGAACAAAAGGCGAAAGAAACATTAAAGAATGTTGGTGTTACCAAAACCCTTCTCAGTATTTTGAATGAAGTAAGGTAAAAATGAACAATTTTTAGATTATTCACTGATTCCTAACATACTGTAGGTACGGGCTGTGAAACTTCCAGAAGGTGCTGGAAGCCTTCTCTACCAACTAGGCACGAAAATAAAGCCCCAAATAAGTCATCATTTACCACTGTTAGTCAAATATGTGGCAACCAATAAGCTAGATTCAACTTTAAGGGTGGATAAAGCTATTGAATTTGCACTTTCCAACATAAAGAACATTAACACTAACAAATTAGAAGAATTTTGTGGTGTAGGTATAGTAGTAACCCCAGAAGAAATTGAGAAGGCAGTAGAAAAACATATTTCTGTTAACAAAAATGAACTATTAGAGAAAAGGTACAGATTCAACACTGGACCACTCATGCAAAAAGTCAGAGTTGAATTACTTTGGGCAGATGGCAAAGCAGTGAAAAATGAAATTGATCTACAGGTTTTTGACTTGTTGGGGCCTAAAACTGAGGCAGATTTGGCTCCAGTACAGAAAATTGATAAAAAACTAGCCAAACCTGCTAAAGTTGACACTAAAACAAAACCAGATGTGCAGAAAAATAATAAAACTGAGCAATCAGGTAAACTAATTACATCATTAAAAGTAATCTGGCTGTGAAGGATTATCATTTTTTATCTTTAGATCAAGGACTCACCATCACTGATGTCATGAAAAAAGTGAATTTTCATGCACCAGGAGAAAATTTCAAAACTGATGGCTATGTTGTCACAGACAACACACATCAATTATTGCAAGAGCATTTGAAAATCACAGGGAAACAGGTATGCAGTTGATAAATTTCAAAAGAGTCATACAAATCATGATAGTTATCTCTAGGTGAGGACCAGATTTCCTCCAGAACCTAATGGTATCCTACATATAGGGCATGCCAAAGCAATCAACATCAATTTTGGGTATGCAGCTGCAAATAATGGTGTCTGTTTCCTCAGATATGATGATACCAATCCAGAAAAAGAGGAAGAGAAATTTTTCACTGGCATTAAAGACATGGTAGAATGGCTAGGTAAACAAATAGCAATTGACTATTCCAATATGAATGAAACATGGGTTCCATTCATTTTAGGTTATAGCCCATATAAAATCACACATTCTTCTGACTACTTTGATCAACTGTACAAGTGGGCGAAAGAGTTGATTAAAAATGGTTTGGCATATGTGTGCCACCAAACTGCTGATGAAATGAAAGGTTTTAATCCTCAACCATCACCTTGGAGAGAACGTCCAATAGAAGAAAGTCTCCAACTTTTTGAGGCAAGATTTATTCATTGTATTCTTTCAATAACTCCCTATAGCTTGAATATATTATTATTTCAAGGAATTGAGTAAACAGGAAAAAATTCATAAGATATCATGAAGTGGTCTTAGGTTCTTCTATAGTTGAATATCATGCAATTAATGTATTTTCTTCAACATTCCACACTTTTCATTCCATGGATTTTATGTGTACATGATGGAAATCTAGAATAGAAAAGTTTCCTATAATCAGATTGTTTTTCCCTGAAGTACATGGAAAACCACTGTATATATATTTTGTTACTGTTAATTTGTATAACCTGTCAGACAGTCTGGATATTTAGGTGTCATTGGTTGATTTATTTATTCAAGGTCTAGTGTATGTCTCACTAAGTTGAAACCATATGGAAAACAATTTTTTCATTATTCATTCAGTTCAGCATGCTCAAATCTAGGAGGAGGAGCTAAAGTTGAACTTTATTTCCTAGGAACTAAAAAGGATGTACTAGAGGTCATCATGAATAAATAACATTGTTATGGTTGGTTATTTGGGTTGGGATGCATACCTGATTTGTTCCCGATTTCGGCAGATTTGGCATTTCATACCCATGCTGGAGATATAAATACACCTTATTAGAGTTAAGTATTTTTGTTTTGATCAGGGAAGCCTTCAAGTTTCACATATTTGCTTGATCTCAATTTCATTCTTTATTCTCGGGATGGATAATTTGTTTTTGAATAATCACGGCCAGCAATAGTATTTTGTCTCAAACGGTATTTTTTACCTCCATTTGATTATCAAGCCAAACACAGTGGAGTATTCGCGATAAGAAATAACACGTCACCCCACCTGACGGAAACAACTCCTGAGTGGTTTGTTTTGATGATATGGCCAATAAGCAGGAACAAAAAACGAATGTGAACCAATGAAAACAAAGTAAACATGACGCTTTGACAGCTTCCAAGAGCTCCGATAGGCGGGGTACGCTTATTTTCTATGGCGATTTGAGAGGAATTAATAATCACTATTATTATTGTTGATATGCTCACTAACCTAACATTTTCCGCGTCTTGTTCCACACCTGGCACTGGCGCGGTATTTGCCATTAGAGCTCCTGATCCATACACAAATATGTCACTCTGTGGTTGTATAAACAGTATGATGCAAATGTATGGAATAAATTCATTTCAAACCAGACGACTTTCGAAAGAAATCCAAAAACTAGAGTAAAGAACTTTTTTAATCGATGTATTTTTTTAACTAGACGACTAGACGACCCTTCGATGTTCAATTCTCAGTAGCAGACCTCTGCAAGATTCAGTTATTCAAATGATAATCCATTTCATTTTCAATCTTCTCATGCAGCATTTTGACTGTTGGATAGACGATCAGTATACTTTTCAAACAAGGTGTCACATGACCCCTGTTTGTATTTGAAAAAGTTGTCCATTACATCATTACTCCAACACCGGTGACGTTACATCTCTCATATGAATATCATGAGATGGAATTCAAAAATTAAAACTCACGTGTTTTTGGAGTTTTTTCAAATGTCACCCATTTCTGAAATAATGAATTTATTCCATACATTTGCATCATACTGTATATTGAAACTACTATTCGAACATCCTTGAAAATTGAATAAACATTACGGATTATTTGTTGCATTGCATACATATGGCACGGCATTGGTGGTTACTTCACATATTTATTTGAGTTAATTGTTTCGGTTGCAGAAAAAATAGCATCTTTCATTCGGATCAAAAGAGACTTTATAATTGACACACAGCATATACGACTGAAAGAAAAGGTGTTTCATAATGTTGAATTGTACAAAGTATGATTAGTTGAATATGTATGATTTGATTGTAAGAAGTATGATAAGTATGTTGAATGATTTGATGACTTTAGCATTATTGAATTGATTTATTTATTCTTTGTTTCTCATATCCATGGAGACCATATTACAGAACAAGTGATAAAATATACAATTTGATGTCTTGATTTTTTTATCAATAACTTTTTTTTCTAAACTGAATAATAAAAAAGTTTTCCATATGCTTTCAACTTAGTGAGACATACTGATGTATATGCGCTGTTTTCTTTTAATTTGTTAATTTATTTGCTGATCGTTTATGTTCTCATCCAGAAGGTTAGGAATTCTTCTTCTGATCTTCTTTTCGTCTTCAGTTCGGGCTTCTTCGGAAATTTGATTGGGAATAGCAAATCTTATCATACCTATATTCATACTATATCCGCCTGAAAAAAAAAAACAGGGATATTGGAGATTCTTGTAAAAACTCAAATTCTGTTTGAAATATTTTTTTTGCTGCTGCTCTTCTTAAACCTTAAATCTCCTGTTTTGATATACTCACAAAAAAAAATTCATAGGATATGAAAAATGGGAAAATCGATGAAGGATCGGCGACTCTGAGGATGAAGATAACGCTTGAAGAAGGAAAATTGGACCCAGTAGCATACAGGGTGAGATTCACTCCCCATCACAGGACTGGGGACAAGTGGTGCATCTACCCCACATATGATTACACCCATTGCCTGTGCGATAGTATCGAAAATATCACCCATTCTCTCTGTACTAAAGAATTCCAATCTAGGTTTGTTTGTTTTACCCAATTTTTGTATGAATTTCCATTTTACAATTCATATTTGCGCTTATTCTGAAATATAGCATGTTCACCCTGTTCAATGTTTCTCTAGACGTTCAAGTTACTATTGGCTCTGCAATGCTCTCAATATCTACTGTCCTGTACAATGGGAATACGGGCGTCTGAACATAAACTACACTGTTGTCTCCAAGAGGAAAATTGCCAAGCTCATAGATGAGGGAATTGTTAAAGGTGATGAATTTTTTTTTTGTTCAACCTATAGGAATATTCAACTTGTATCTCAAATTACTTCTTTCAACTCCTCTGGTAAAATAGGAAATTAATTTGGGCTAGTTCTCTCCTCTTCCATTTTTCTGTTCAGTGGTACCAACGTAATTATATTGAAATATAGAGATAGCCTGTCATTCTCTCCCTGTCTACCATCTAGCATCTAGTATGCCACGGAACTATTTTTAATGTCATATGTCAATAATTATCATTTCAACTGATGAGTCAAGTTGAGATAGATGACAAAAGATATGATACCCGCAAAGCAAGGGAATATAAATTAAATGTTGAATTCTAATTAATTGGATTCTGGAATAACAAATATATATATTTTTTTTTTTTTAGATTGGGATGATCCAAGACTTTTTACTTTAACCGCTCTGAGGAGAAGGGGATTCCCTGCGGAAGCAATCAATAACTTCTGTGCCCAACTAGGGGTAACAGGGGCTCAAAGTACTGTGGATCCCTCCATGTTGGAAGCTTATGTTAGGGACTATTTGAACAATACCGCTCCTAGGTAAGAAAAATGACGTTATATTCGCGATTTCATATTTCAATTTGAAATTATTCCAAGTGCTTGGAAGGCTGGGATAATATAGTAATATTAGCTGACCCGCAAACATTGTTTTGCTATATATACATTATTGCTAGAAAATATTTTTCCACTTGAATATTTTATTTTTTACTTTTTAGTTTGGCTATCTATAAAGGCATGTTCCAATTTTTTTGAACTATTGTTTATCACTAAGCTCGTTTCCATATTCGATCCGCCATCTTGAATTTCCCAATCTTTGCGGAAAAAATCATAATCTTCGACCCCGAAAACCCCCCGATATCAATTTTGAAGAGAAAATCGGATCATAATAATTAGAAAACCCGTTCGTCATATTAGATCCGCCATCTTGAATTACCCAATTTCGACGAATGAATCTAAATCTCTGACCTCAAAAACCCTCAGATACAAATTTTGAATTGAATCTTAGTATAATTACAAAACTTGTTCGCCATATTGGATTCGCCATCTCAAATTTTCAAATTGTGAGAAAATAATCTTAATCTCCGACCCCTCTAACCCCCAGATGCCAATTCTGAATATAATCGGATCATATAACAATACACATCTCGTCCGCCATCTTGAAATTCCCTATATTGACGAAAGAATCCTAATCTCTGACTCCAAAATGCCCCAGATACCTATAATTTGAATAGCATCGGATCATAACTACAAAACTCGTCTGCCATATTGTTTCCGCCATCTTGAATTTCCTGACCCCGAAAACCACCCAGATACCAATTTGTTGAATAGAATCGGACCATAATTACAAAACTTGTCCGGCATATTGGATCCGCCATCTTAAATTCGCAAATTTTGACGAAAGAATCATAATCTCCGACTCCGAAAATCCCCAGATACCAATTTTGATTAGAATCGAACCATATAATTGCAAAACTCGTCCGCCATATTGGATCCGCTATCTTGAATTTCCAAATTTTTATAAAAGAAGCATACCTAATCTCCGACCCTGAAAACCCTAAGATACTAATTTTGAATATAATCAGATCATAATTACTAAACTCGTTCGCCATGTTTGATCTGTCATCTTGAATTTTCAATTTAAAAAATAGCTTAGGAACGCATTAGGTTAGATGGTATACCTTTTATTTTGTGGATCATAACACTCTAGTTTGATAGTGGAAATGCCGGAAATACCGATCTGATGATAGTGCAAAATGACCGTTGAAGTTTCTATTTTTAGGCGAATGGTAGTTTTGGAACCTTTGAAGATAACCATAGAGAATTTCCCTGGTGATAGGCCCTTGAAAATTTCCGTCCCTAATTTTCCGAATAAACCAGAACTAGGCAATCACACTGTAAGATTTGATAGAACCATTTATATTGAGAAAAACGACTTCATGGAGGTAAAAAACACTCAAGTATTAAAAGTTTTTGAGTCAGAAATATATACCGGTTCCATGATTCACAATTATTATGAAATTTTTATTTTCAGGTGGGTGATAAAGGGTATAGACGTCTGACTAAATCTCAGCCTGTTGGGATTCGTCATTCTGGGTTTATTTTAGAAGTGACTGATATTAAGAAAGACAAATCGCTAGTTACTGAATTAGTATGCAGCTGTCTAGAAGTTGACAAAGCAACTTCCAAGCCCAAAGCTTTTATTCACTGGGTCAGCGATCCACAAGAAATCCAAGTTAGGTTATACTCCTCCTTGTAAGTTGAAGAAAAAATGGCAATATGTGTTTCAAAGTTAACCATGTTTGTGTACTAGGTTCAAGCATAAAAATCCGGAGGATGCGAATGAAGTTCCTGGAGGCTTTATAACAGATTGTAATTTAGATTCATTGAAGATTATTACTAGTTTTGCTGATAAAAATCTCAAAGCTGCCAAAGTCTATGAGAAGTTCCAGTTTGAAAGAAATGGGTTCTTCTCTGTTGATCCTGACACTTCCAGTAATAAAGTAAGTTGGAAGTTTGAAATGATAGATGGGTTTTTATCAATTCAATTTTTCAGCTGGTATTCAACCAAACCGTTGGCCTGAAAGAAGATGCAGGGAAATGAGCATGACATTAACATTTTTATTTATTTGTACACTCATCACTCATAGATGCCTTGATGAAATTTTATATTAAAAAAAAAACTTCCAGATAGTCTAATTCTTCCATACTTATTTATTTTAATCAACTGTAGTGAAATTTATAATTTATTAAAAATTCGAATCGCATGTTTTTATTAGCGTTGTTTCAGAAAATCACGAACTGGGTGGCCTCTGGTGTCAATTTTTCAAAGCTCACCGAAGGACTATACTCAAGAGGTGATTGATTTATTATGCTTTGCATAAGGGTAATAATATTAGGCAACGACTTAAGGAGGAGTTTACCCTCTGAAAAAGGTCAAACTAAACCTAAGGTGTAAAGGGGGAAGTAAAAATCCTGTCCGAAGGAGGCGGGGCCCGATAACGAAGGAAGTCGTCTAGTGTCTCACTCCAACTCATTCTAGCGTAAAATATTTCAACATTTATAGTAAAAGCGGCCTTGAGTGTTACCCCTTGAGGCTTCTGCGGACGTCTGAATTCTCCGAATAAGTCCCACAGGCACAGCTTACAAGTTGTGCTTTAGGCAATATACATCAGTATTCCGTAAAAATATGCATAGGCCGAAATGGAATATGAGTATGGAGTAATAAAATTAAAATTGTTTTCAACATTATGATGGATATTTCGCATGATAATAATTTTAGGCCGGATGCTAGTATAGGTATGTACATACCCAGTGTTCATTTGAAAATTTTCCAACTGCAATGAGTAGAGTAGAGCAAGGTTGGTAGAACTGATGACTATTTTGTAGAGGAAGGTTACCTCGATCGCACCCCGCGAGTAACCTTGAGTAACTCATGACGTAATAGGCCCTTTCTTTTGCACGAAAAGTGTAGCAATCTCGTACACTTCGTGTAGGATATGTACGCCGGCGATTGGCCGGCGCATGTATTGAGTTGACAGTTGTCAGTATTTTCGAATATTTGAACCATTTTGAAATTAAAAATGTAAAAATTATAGTTTGTTCGGTCACTTCTTGTTAAAATTCGTACAAGTGTAATGAGACTAGTGAATTTAGTTTGTGTTTCCATTAATTTCCATAAGATGAGTCTATTCGTGAGAAATGGATTCAATTTTGTGGACGTAATTTTAATTCATTTAATACCAAAACTAGGCGAATATGTTCTGCCCATTTCGATGCCGAGGATTTTGAACGGCACAAGCAGAATTGCTAAATCACACACCAAAGAGAAGAAAATTCAAGGTAGGAATCCCATCAATAATACCAAATACAACAAGAGAAACACCATAAGTATGGAAGTTTGGAAAAATGACCAGAACCAGACCAGTTGTGAATGTTGAGATTCTTGCTGAACGGGTAAAATGGACAGTTGTTGTTGAAGTTGAGATATTTGAGCAAGAGTACGTTACCCAACGAAGAGGAGCTATGTTTATTTGAGAGATTCCTTGAACTATCCTTTATTATAGGTCCACTTATAATAGTATCGTAATGTTATTTTTCATTAATTTTGTTCAGAATCATATTTTGTTATTTTTTATGCTCAAATACTTCGATCAATTGCTCTGTTTTTGACTACAATATATAATCAAACAATGAAATACTATTTCCTCTTGTATTTTCTATAGGTATCTAGGAAAGTTTGTTAATTTTTCAGAATACAGAATTATATTGATAAAATAAGTGATCTGTTGTGTATGAATATTGGTGCACTGCTACTACTTCTGGATCATCAGTTGATTATTCTTATATTTTCTGTAGTTTCTTGTTCACATTATCTTATTTGCAGGATATTTATAGGATGAGTAGGTTCATAATCAATGCATAAGTAATCACTAGCTCCATAATTATGCTCCATACCTCAAAACACACATACCTGGAACCACGACCTTGTAAATAGCCCCTGGAACAAAATTTCAGATAGGTATTCCTCTTTGTACTACTGATCCATCCAAAATTGCCTTCTCATTTCGAAGATTGAAGGTATTATACAGGAGTATATGTAAATATCCATATTTTGTAATGGTACTTACTTATAATTATATACTATAAATTAATATAAATATGCTGAGCAGACCAAAAAGTTTGTATCATGTTTGTATACTCTATTTGGTAAACATTTCATGACATGTCGCTTTAAGGTTGACAACTTGTCGTCTTACTGCCTGTGACGTCACGAGTGACCGTTTCCCCCCTTGCCGCACTATCGATCGAGGCAACCTTCCTATACAAATTATAATCAGTTCTACCAACCTTGGAGTAGAGTAGTTTATTTGACCATGTTATGTAAATTCCATGTACGGCAAGTCATAATTACAATAGCCATAGTGCTTGAAAATAAAGATAATCTTCACCCTCAATCGCTAAAGTGCAGAAATAGATGAATTATATTGCGATTTTTGCAATTTCCAGGCATTTTTGCGATTTATGCAATTTTCAGGAATTTTTGTGATTTTTGCAATTTTCAGGAATTTTTGCGATTTTTGCAATTTTCAGTCATTTTTGCGATTTTTGCGATTTTCAGTCATTTTTGCGATTTTTGCAATTTTCAGGAATTTTTGCGATTTTTGCAATTTTCAGGAATTTTTGCGATTTTTGCAATTTTCAGGAATTTTTACGATTTTTGCGATTTTCAGGAATTTTTGTAATTTTTGCAATTTTCAGGAATTTTTGCAATTTTTGCAATTTTCAGGAATTTTTGCGATTTTTGCAATTTTCAGTCATTTTTACGATTTTTGCAATTTTCAGTCATTTTTGCGATTTTTGCAATTTTCAGTAATTTTTGCGATTTTTGCAATTTTCAGTCATTTTTACGATTTTTGCAATTTTCAGTCATCTTTGCGATTTTTGCAATTTTCAGTAATTTTTGCGATTTTTGCAATTTTCAATAATTTTTGCGATTTTTGCAGTTTTCAGTCATTTTTGCAGTTTTCAGTCATTTTTGCAATTTTCAGGAATTTTGCGATTTTTGCAATTTTCAGGAATTTTTGCGATTTTTGCGATTTTCAGTCATTTTTGCGATTTTTGCAATTTTCAGGAATTTTTACGATTTTTGCGATTTTCAGTCATTTTTGCGATTTTTGCAATTTTCAGGAATTTTTGCAATTTTTGCAATTTTCAGGAATTTTTGCGATTTTTGCAATTTTCAGTCATTTTTACGATTTTTGCAATTTTCAGGGCCGGTTTATCAATTACAATTTATCTGTCAGTTAAAGCTTAACTACCAGTTTTTTTGGAAAGGTTGGTTTATCTTCACCAGGGTAACTTTATCCGGCAGTTAAAATGTCAAATATTTATCTGTAAGTTTCAACTGGCGGATAGTCGATATCTGGAGGTTAATGCCTATCATAACCTCACTTTATTGAGTTGTTTGTTGTTTTGATTTCCTAGCTTTCTGGTGTGACAAAAAAGTTAAAAATGGAGAGTACTAGTAGTTCTACAAAGAAAAGAGGATGCAATTTCACAGCAGAGGAGAAAAATTTGCTGATTAAAATAGCGAATCAATACAAACGTGTGATTGAAAATAAAAAAAAGATGGGGCAACCTGGAAATCGAAAGAGGAGGCTTGGGTGGCAGGTTGAAGCAGCCTTTAATAGCTGCAGTAGTGGCACTGTAAAAAAGGTTCAGGTTTTCTTTAAAGTACATAATAAGTAGTTGATTTTCGTACTCAAGCACTTGCACAATATCCTCGTCCTCGTCGCTCTCCAGGATATAATCATTTAAAAAATTCATATTTATCAACAACCAAAAACTCATAAAACAGAAAAGCCTCGAAAACAATCAACAATAACCTAACAAAACGGTCGTGACTACTCGTGATCGGTCGTGATGTGACATGACCTTGTTCTTGTAACAACCAATGAGATTGCTTACATTTATTCATCAGCATTGCCAACTTTCATTATCTGGCAGTTGATTAACTGGAGAATAAAAATGAGTTGATAAACCACTTCCAAACAAACTGGAAGTTTATCTGCTAGATATTTTTATCTGACGGATAACTAACTGATGGATAATATTGGCAATTGATAAACCGACCCTCAGTCATTTTTGCGATTTTTGCAATTTTCAGTCATTTTTGCGATTTTTGCAATTTTCAGTCATTTTTGCGATTTTTGCAATTTTCAGTCATTTTTGCGATTTTTGCAATTTCAGGAATTTTTGCGATTTTTGCAATTTTCAGTCATTTTTGCGATTTTTGCAATTTTCAGTCATTTTGCGATTTTTGCAATTTTCAGTCATTTTTACGATTTCTGCAATTTTCAGGAATTTTTGCGATTTTTTGCAATTTTCAGTCATTTTTGCGATTTTTGCAATTTTCAGTCATTTTTGCGATTTTTGCAATTTTGAGGAATTTTTGCGATTTTTGCAATTTTCAGGAATTTTAGCGATATTCAGTCATTTTTGCAATTTTTGCAATTTCCAGGAATTTTTGCGATTTTTGCAATTTTCAGTCATTTTTGCGATTTTTGCAATT